GCGGGAGAGCGAGCGAGCGATGCGAGCTACGACAGAGAAAGACGGGAAGAGAGAGGGACAGAGGAAGAGACAGACCAAGGGGGAGCAAAAGACAGAGAGAGTGAGAGAGAGCGAGAGAGAGAGAAGGAAAGAGACGGAGGGAAAGAGTGAGAAAGGGAGAGACAGGGATAGACAGATAGGCGGAGAGAGGGAGGGAGAAAGCACACGCGCTTCCTGGGAGAGAGAGTGCGATCTGCGCCCGGTCTCTCGGCTCGTCTCTGACTGGTGTTGTGTGCGCCGCTCACGAGAGAGCACAGCCCGTGCGCTGCGTGGCTGCTACACGGCCTGGGGGCCACGTGACACGGTCCCCTGCAGGAGGTAGGACCGCTTCGTCGCTTGGCGTCTCTACCCCACCGTGCGTACGTATGCGTCGGCGCGCGTGTTTATGCGATTTGCGCGCCAGTGTGGAGCGCGCGTGTGGGCCGCATTACGACCGCTGGCCCGTGACACCGAGCCCACGGAGGGAGAGGCCGCAAGCGAGCGAGCGAGCGAGCGGCCGAGCTGCTCGGACGACTGGTGAGGGAACCTTCGCGAGGATCTGCTGATCTTGACGGAACGATTCGTATGCAAACGATTCTGTTTCCAGTTCACTTTGCGAATCGTAACATCTAGATTAAACTCTGCTTCTCCATCGAGCTCTGATTATTTCGGTACCTCGAATCACTTTTCGATTCGAATTATTTGTATCTCTAAGGGGCGAACATGATAGCTAGACCACGAAACAATCGGATTTCGCGGCGAAAATGACGGAAAAGAGAGAGCCACCGTCGCGGCATCTCGTGCAGCGAGCGCAGCACGACGCAGAGGCGGGTCGCGGGGAATCGCCGAGGTCTGCTGGCCCCGATGGTGGGGACGGCGGTGGTGGAGGGGAGGCAGGACCTCGTCGAGTGGGAGGACTGGGCCCGCGGGCTCCGTTCCACGGCTCCGCGGAGTGGGGCCGATCCCTCTCGCTCCGTCGGGCCCTCGTTCTCTCTCTGTCTCCGCGCGGAGCGGGGCGAGCGCGAGGGACAGGGGTGGGGCGGCCTACGACCCCGCCAGGCGCGTGCCCCGAGTCAGCTCGTATGCTCCACCGCGCACGATTGATAACGAGCCGTGGCGTACCGCGGTGGTTTACTGCCGCGGATTTTTCGGCTGACCAACGAACGGCCCTTAATTCATTTCTACGTGCCGCGGCCGCGATACACGGCGGCCTCACGGGCCCCGATAGCGCCGCAGTCTCGGGCCTTGACCGACTCGACGATTACGTAAAACCGCGACGAGGTTTCGGGCCGAGAAACGCGCCGCTGCTAATGATAATGGATCATTACCGCTGCACGGATTATGAAACCTGCTGGTACCGTTTCATTGAACCCCGCCGCTTGCCGTGGAGCATTCGTGTCGAAGCTTTTGGTCTGGGTCGCGGAGAAGAAATAATTGGGCCGCGCGTAACACTTCGCCGACCGGTATATTAATGTGTTTCACGTCGATTAGCACGTTGAATTCGTGAGCAATTTAATCGTGGTATTATTACATATAAATATAATGAAACGTTGCTGTAACCGAGATACAGAAGGAAAGAAAATTCGCTCCGAGGCTGGTTGAGCGATAGGTCCGCGAAAGTTTCCGTAATCCTTTTGTCGGTCCCTTTCGCGACGTCTATGTTCTATTCATAGTTTCAATCCATTACGCGTAACCGTAACAGGAAATTAGTAGCGTAAATAAGATAAGAATCGACCGATCAGATTCACACTCCTCGGTCCAACCGTCGAGCGATCCCGTAAGAAGCTGCAAGATCTCGATGGGAGGGTTTACATATGACAATATCGAAACTCTATAATTTCGCAAGGCCGCCATATTACTCACTGCCGCAGAGGCTGGCCACTGGCACAGTCTCGTGACACTTTTATTCGAGACGTCGAAATGGAAGTTTCGGTGGAACGCGTTTGGCATGCAAAGTGCTCGCAACGGGACTGCAATCCGAGCGAACGATCCGCGGTGCTCGGCTCCGTCGAATATTTAACTCCCAGCGGATCCGCGTGACAGCTTTCGTACGCTTCATCCGTCGATGCCTATGAACGTTACGAGCCTATAATGCATCCACTGAGTGCCCTAGCCAGTGACAAGTAATTGGCGAAGCGGGTCGCGTCAATAAATATGTTGATCTACTCCCGGGTGTTAATGTTGGTCCGCCGCGTCGCTGGCCTCGATAAATTACACCGTCTCGGTGTTCGGAAGGGTTCTCGCCAACGGATAGAAGGACACGGCGAGCCCAGGCCATTCGATCCTTGCCGCGGCGCGCGGGGCACCGTCGCTTTTTCTCCTCGGGGATAGATGAGACAGCGGCGAGACGAGAGCCAGGCTTCATCTTCGAGCAGGCTTTACGAGTCGCCGGGAAGATGACGAAACGGGACTAGTGCATCGGCGCGCCGATATTTATAGAATGCCGAACGAAGAAGATCGTAAGCTAATGGTCGTATAAATAGTCCATCTCACGCGCGACTTTTTAACCGGAAGGAAAACTCGCTCTCCCCCTGTCGCCTCCCCCGTCCTCCCGCTTCGCCGGGTATCTTTCTCTTTTTCTCTCGCTCTCCTTACACACGGCCGCTTTAAAAGCGGCTCGTAAACGGGGAATCATAAATCCGAGTCTCGTTGAACCGGCACACGGCTCGCCGGTGAGTGTCGCGCGGGAACGATTATCCGGCGTTGAACACGAGCTGTAAAAAGTACACGGAAAGCGAGGAGAACACGGCGCGTGATGGGATTACCCGATGAACCGCCGGAGGGGGACGGAGGGGCACCGAAAAACCCTCGAGGAAGTTCGGACTTCCGCGAAACGCCGACGGAATCTTAAACGATCATCTGTTCCGTTTGCATCCTCGACGGCACGCAGACCTGTCATGTTACTACCTCCGAATGTCTTCGCCGATTCGGCCGCGATCTTGTCGTTTCTCGCGCCGCCGTTCTGCCGGCATGCAAATCAGAGATGTCGATATCGAGATCTTGATGCAGGGTCCGGGGACTCGGGGGTTTCCAAGTGGGAAGAGGATCCTTTTAGCTCTTGAAATTATAGTCAGTAATATCTAATCCTGGGAGTCGATCTTTTCTGACAGACAATGATTTTATCCGAATATTGCTGATGAAACATGTAGCTTTGAATATCTTGGACATAGTAACCCGAGGAAGTGTTTCTCTTAACTTTCCTAGATCCTTAGTTGCTATCAGTCAATGATCGCGTACCACGTTAAGCGCCACGAAAATCTTTTTCCCTTAGAGTTATTGCAGCAAAGGAAAGCAGGAACAATTGTTCGCTATTTGGCAATCCTTGCATCACATTATCAACTTCCGTTCTTAAATATTTTCACTCAACATCGGTTATTTCGTACGTTACGATCGCTTTCGAGTAATTCAGAAGCGTCGGTCGTCGGTGACTGACACGGCGCTTAACGTGTTAATTAATAGCTCCCAACTCCAATCTCTTCAGACTGTCAATACGTGGCTACCAAGAGTTAGAGCTGCTAGTCATTATGGCTAGCGCTATGTCCCAACGTTCCTCGCCTGAAAAAACAAGCTACAAGCTTCGTCTACGCGAAAACAGCTCGCCC